CATTTTGGAGGACATGCTCCTGCCATGCTGTTTCCTGCTGCCGTTGCTAAGCTTCTGGAATGTGGGCTTCAGGCTGCCTCGCACAATTATTATGTTCCTGGAATAAGCCCTGCAAGGGACTGAGAGATAGCGCCCTGGCTGTCAGCCGCTGGGTGGGCAGTCACCTTTCCTGGAAAGTGCTACCTTCAGGCACCTTTCATGTGTCCCTTGCTTTGCGGCAGCTGGAGCTCTTCGGAGAAACACACAAAGATCCAGCTGTCACGTCCAAGATCACGGAGCCACCCCAACGATTCCTCTGGGTGTCCATTGGCTCCTTACAGTTGTATAACATGGGATTGAGCTCCCCAGAGTGTGTGTGCTCACCACTTTGGCCTGCTGGTGTGCTCTGTGACCTCCAGCTGAGAACTGACACTGACCCTGAGCTGGGCGTGCTCAGGAGTGTGCCTGTCCCTAAGGTGGAGGTGAGTGGTGCCACATGACCCCCCTGCTGCCCTCTTCTGGTGGAGCACTGCTCTGCAGGGGGCTCCAGGGGCAATCTTTCCCCAGGCTTTTATCTTGTGCTTCACACTCACAAGAGGTGGCCCCACTGCGTTTGGGTACATGAGGACCTTGAGTCCTGCGTGCGCTGAGGTAAGCCAAAAAATGAGTTTCCTTCTTTGCTTAGTTAGCTGGCCTTGAGTTTTTCTTATGTGTAATCAAGAGTTAATTAATACTCTGAATGTCCTTCCTTTACTAGTGTTATGATTTAGTGTCCCCCAAAACCTCACCTGTGAGACAATGCAAGAAGGTTCAGAGAGAAAGTATTGGGTTGTGAGAGTTTTAACCCAATCAGTGATTTAATCCCCTGATGAGAGTAACTGGGTGGGAACTGAGGCAGGTGGGGTGCGGCTGCAGGAGGCTGGTCATTGGAGGCCTGTCTTTGGGGGATATATTTGTTTCTGGAGAGTGGAGTCTCTCTGCTCCCTGATCACCATGTGAGCTGCTTCCCTCTGCCACACTCTTCCGCCATGATGTTCTGCCTCACCTCAATCCCCCCGGGGAATGGAGCCAGCTGTCCATGAATTGAGAACTATGAAACCGTGAGCCCCCAAATAAACTATTCCTCCTCCACAATTTATCGGGTCAGATCCTTTAGTCACAGCAACAAAAAAGCTGACTAAAACAATAGTGTGTAAGTAAATGATTACATTGTAGAAAGCTTGTTCAACAAAATTGGTATCTAGGCTCATTTCACATGATCATTTTGGTAGTTAATCTCATCCCAATAATTTATGGCCTCTTGGTGCTTGATGAAAACATATACATCATTCAGGATGTCTCTGCATGGTATTCCTCTAGCTGCCGGGCACAGTGGCGCATGCCTGTTATCCCGGTGGCTCGGGAGGCTGAGGCAGGAGGATTGCAAGTTCAAAGCCAGCCTCAGCAATAGTGAGATGCTAAACAACTCAGTGAGATCCTGTCTCTAAATAAATTATAAAATAGGGCTGGGGAAGTGCTCAGTGGTTGAGTACCCGAGTTCAACCCCTGGTACCAAAACAAAACAAAAAAAACTACATAGTATTCCTCTTACAAATTATTTTTAATATATTTTTATACATCTGTCGATTTTTGTTGCTATCTAAAGTGTTGGTTCCAGAGATGCTACAACGTTAATTGCTAATGGGAGGTAAGACATGGTAATGATACAGAGGTCTGACAACTCCACAAGCCTCCCTTTTCCATCAGCCCACAGCTGACCTATGAGAGCCCCCCTGGCAAGTGCACAGCTTTCCCAACACTGAAACCAGGCACAGGCCCTTTTAACAAAAAAGGGGAGATTCCGTGTTGTGGCCTTGAATGTGATACACGAAATACAGGTAACATGAGATTTGTGTTTACTTTAAAATATTAAAGAATGAGACGAGTTTCTTGGAAATACTGGGTCAGAACTCTCACAATAAATTTTCCAGTAAGGCTAGGAGCAATTTTATCCTGTGTCTCTGGGTAATATTCCTCCCTAACTCTTTCCTTGAATGTGGACACTCGTGTCCAGCAATAGCAGCAGGAATGATGTCACCCATTAGTATAATCTCAGAGCTTATTAAACCTGGCTTGGAAAAATCTTTGTCCCTGGTCAAGCGTGAGTAGCAGTTCACCCCACGACATGACCACGTGGGGTGCCACGTGCCAATAAAGTCTCTGAAGATCCTGCCACCCAGCCATCTCTATTACACAGTGAAAATCTCCAGGACCCCAGAGGACCTCAGTTATTCAGGAGAGAAACCTGTGTGATCCAATGGCCACAACGTGTAGTAAAATGTGTAGACCTATTGTAAAATCTCACCATTTCTCATTAAACGAGGGAAAGGTGATTGGATTTGAGAAACTCAACTATCCTGATAGAAATAAAGGGCTCCTGGCCTTCCTGAGGGTGAGGGCTTCCAGGACCCATGTTCAGGAACAAGTGTGGCTTATTTGTAATTGGCATGTTGTTTTAAATACCTCAAGCCTTGAACTTCCTGAAAGGATTGTGCGTCTTGGAGAGCTCAAGCCACCTGCAGTGGACTTTCACTCAGGATGGTCCTACTTTCGGGCTCAGAGTAGGCGTTTCCCGACTCCATGGTCTTGCAGTGGTGGAATCCAAAGCCCATTGACACTTGAGAATGTGACAAGCTTGGGACCAGAAGACTTGTGCTCTGATGTTATTCTGATGGCAGAATCTTGGTTGAGACAGACGGGTGTCTCCTGCAGGCTTAGGGCAGACAGCAGCACCTGAGAAAATGGGCTCAACCAGGGCCCCCGGCCCACTGGCCACTGCTCACGTGTCTGCATCTTAGGGTCTCCACGTCCCCTGTGCCACCTGAGAGGCACTCCCTGTTCGGTTTTATGGTGGCAAATTTCAGGGGAAACATGAGCTAGAGTTTATTTCAAGTTATCATGAGGATCCATGCAGCTGGGTAATGCTCTGAGATGCCACGTTCAGGTCTGGCTGTGGGTAGGACCGCGGGAAGGTGAACGTCCTGTCAAGTGCAATCTCTCTTTATTATTTCTAAGCAGGGCTAGTTCCCACTATCATAAGCAGATAAGGAAAGCCAGCACCCATTTGTCATTCAAAAGGGAACACTCACTTAACTGGGAATGAATGAAAACCGTCTCCTGGTGAGTTTTTAGAATAGTGGTAACAAAATCACGACTCAAGGTCACAGAAGATTGAAATGAGGTCCCTTCGGGGTGCTAATCTTTGGATCCCGCAGGGAAACAATTTCCCAACATCAGTTTTGACATTCTAATGTTTCTTCTTGCCTAAAATAGACATAAGAAGCAGAAACCTAACATGTCCTCTGTCTTCTCCAATGGCAATTAGTCTATCCATCATCCACCTAGAGCTCGCAGTCCCATTTTGAGGTGGCCACTTCTCACCCCCATTTTGTGCCATTAACCCCTCCGCACAGCGTGGAGAAGGGTCTGCAGCACGTGAGCCAGGCCGTGGGGCGTGGGTGGGCGTGGGTGAGCATGGGCTGCAGGCAGCACCGACCGCACACTCGCCAGGCTTTGTCCTTCCCGCTCACTGGTCCCTGAGTCAGAACCATGAACAGGGCCACTCGCCACCCAGGGTTTCCAGACCAGCACGCGGAAGACTCCCCTGCATGGCTGTCCCCAGCCTCCAAACCAAAGGGGACCCACCAAACCCACCTCCCCCTTACCTAAGGTGCTCGCCTGCAGTCTTTGCCACCTCTAAATGAGGTCGGCACGCATTTCTTAGGCTGGACAATATTAAAAATCGCCTTTTTGCGTGTCATAAATGGTTCGATATTGGCAATTCCAATATTAAGTAGCTGCCCAGGGGGAATCCAGGGTGACATCCTGTCCCTTTCATTCTCCTTCAGCTCTAGAGGAGCCCATCGCGAGGCCTGATCAGTCCTGTTTCTCGGGCAGGTCCTGGATGCCCCTAGCACCCTCCACAGCCCAGCCCAGCTGTGCACACTGCAGTGCCCAGCGCGCCCTCTTAAAGCCCAGGCAGGCCGTCCCACCTCCACGCTAGAAGTCACCCCAGAGCTTCCCACCCTGAGGACAAAGAGCGAACCCACCCGCAGGGCTGACGGGCCTCAGGACCTCTGCAGTCCCATCTCACAGGCTACTTCCCAGAACTCTTCCCAGCTCAGGGCCTCTGCACGCTCTTCTGCTTCCTAGACCCTCCTCTCTCTCGTTTCTCTAGTCCCTGTCACCCAGGAACCTGGCTCAGGTCTCAGTATATGCACCACTGCTCTGTGACCTCTTCCCCACCCCCGTGTTACCGATACCCACCTCAGCCGGTCACTCCCACAATAGCCTGTTCAGTGCCCTGCCAGAAGCACGCTGAGGCAGTAGGGCCCTGGCTGTCTCCTGGTGTCCCTGACACTTGTCACTGTGGTCACCTGGCCTGGCACTAACGGGTGATGATCACAGGTTTAAGGAAGGCAGGGGCTCCGTAGATATGAAGGCTGCCACTCACAATTCAAAGCTGCACTGTTTGGATGAAACTTAACTGGCTTCTCTATTTAGGATTTTTAGAAAACAAACCATTTAAAACTTCAGAAGGGAAAGCCTGCACCAGAGCTCTGGGGCCATTGTGAGCTACAACTGTGTGGCTACGTCTCACGCCAGTGACAGTAGTAGAGAGAACAATGACAGAAGGTGACGCTGAGTGTTGACTGTGTGCCGAGCCCGTGGAGGACATCGAGGCTCAGAAAACTCAGGCCTTGCCTCAGGTTGACACGCTCGTCCACAGAGGAGCCTTAGTCACGAAGACCCTGGACGTGCTTTGGGTGCTCTCAGACCCTCAGTCTCGGGGCAAGACACCCCTGGAACACAGGGACCCTCCCTCCACACTCAGCAGCCTACAGAGCATCAAGGACAGAATCCAAGGGAGACACACTTTTAGCTGGAAGTTCAACGTTTCTGAACACATCTCAGCTGATTTCTCCAACTTTCCAAGAGCAAGTTTGCCCAAGCTTCGACTTATTAAAAGCAGGTGTTCCTACCGGAAGAAAGAGTCTCTGGGCAGCGCAGGGTTTGAACAACTTCTTCCATTCCTGAGGGTTTCCAACCGAAAAGGTGATGGGGTAGATCCTGTGCTCAAACTTCTTTGTGTATGAGTCAGGCCACTGTCGTAACTGGAAGACACGGAAGGCACAGGGAGGACGGTTAGACGCCACGAAATGCGGAAAATACCTGGGAGGTTTCTGGAAGGCCGAGCGGATACTGCCCAGGATTTACCTAGAGAGGCTAGGCTCGGCGCCACGGCTGGCGCTCACCAAAGGAGAGAGCAGGTTGTCCCATGGGCACCGCGAGGATTTGACATGGCAGTCACAGTCGTGGGGGGGGGGCTGGGAAACTGGCACCAGGACCCTGCCAAGCGGAGGGCACACCTGCACAAGCTGTCAAAGGGCAATCTGGACACGGTGACAACAGTCCCGATGCATGCAGGGGCAGCGGCTTTCACCACGACCTGAGCGGTAGTCGCAGTGTGGGGACAGTCTAACTGTCCAGTTGCAAGGAACTGGGAGACGGAGTATGACACAGTCATATGATAGGACAACGCGCAGGTAGAACTAGGAGGTCCCGTGTGTGCTGACGCGGAAACACCATCTGGGGACGCCAAGTGCAGAAGTGCTTGCGCCATGGCTCTACCTGTCAGGGAGACAGCGCACGTGTGTTTCACATGTGGAGGTCAATCTGGACGGAGGACAGAGGCACACCCCAACATTCACACCTCTAGAGGTAGTGGTGGAGTCTCAGTCTCTACGTTCATAGTCCTGGGTTCTTTCAAATGTTCCGTGTAGATGAAATGTAATGCTTTCCTTAAGTATATTGATTTTACAACACAAATTTTGTTTTCATAGCAGTTTTATGCTTCCTGAGAGGCTGAGCAGGAAGCACAGAGTTCCCGTCAGCTGCTCACGGCCCCTGTCCGTGGTCTCCAGTACTGCTGCCATCTTGCTCTGGTGTGCTGTGACTGTCACTGCTGCTATAATCACTCTTAGCTAATCACGTCATCATCATCAGTTGTACTCACTGCTAAGTCGTAATGTACACTGGCACTTTATGGACGGTCCCTGCTTTGTGTGGTGACTCCACGGCTTGGGCAAGGCATCATGTCACAGCCCCCATGACAGTAGCACCCAGAACAGCGTGGCTGCCCTAAACCTCCTGTCCTCCCTACCCGACCTTCCTTCCCTCCCTCCCCCTGAACTCTCAGCAGTCACTGACCTTTTGTTAGCTCCCAGATTCACCTTTCCAGAACGTCACGTGAGTAGGGTGGCACAGGGTGGCGCTTTCTCCTCCTACCTTCTCTTACTTAGAAATGTGCACTGAGGTTCTAGGGGGCTTTCTGTAGCCTGACAGCTCTCTTGGTTTTCACTACTTATACTCCACTGTATGCACGTGCCACAGCTTATTCCTGCAGTCATCGACTAGAGGACATTTTAGTTGCTTCCAGGTGGGGAGAATCGTGACTGAGGCTCGTGAGCATCTGTGTGCAGGTTTCTGGGAACACAAGTTCCCAACTCCTTGGTCAGTATTTGGATTGCATTTGTTGCCTCCGTGGTAAACCTCCTTCTGACTTTCTAGAAACTGCCTAACTGTCTTCCCGTGGGGCTCTGCGGGACGGGAGTGCCTGTGTCCACACCCTCACCAGCACGCGCCGCAGTGTGTCTGCTCCAGTTTTTAGCCACTCCACTAGTGTGTGCTGATCTCACTGTGGCCTTGGGCTGGACTGCTTCATAACCTGTTGAGTGTCCTCCATGTGCTCATGTGTCACCTGTGCATCTTCTCACACTTTCCCTGTTGATACTGGGATTGAGACCGGGACTCCACGCACATCTGGGGCAGGGCTGGAAGTGTCTAGGTTCCCACTCACACGTCTGGTGGGGAGGCTGGCTATGGGCCAGGGCTCAGCTCCGCTCCTCGTGGCCTTCCCAGACGGTCTCTCCCTAGGGGCTCTTCGGGTTCCTCCAGCATGGAGGCTGGGTTCCAGGACAGACCTCCCATCAAGGAGCCAGGCAGAAGCTGTGTCCTCTCCTGAAGGAGCCTCGGCTGTCACAAGCATCGTCTGGCATGCTCTGTCGTATCTAGCATGGGTCTGACTGTGCATGTGTGTGTATGTTTGTGTGCACACGTGTGTAGAAGGATTGCTGTGGCCTTACAACAAATTGCCCCAAGCTAAGGCTTCCAACCACACACATGCATCATCTCCAGTGGTTTCTTAGGTCCAGGAATCTGTGGGAGTGTAGTCGTAGCTCACGGCCTCTCATGAAGTCAGGGGCTACGGCCATCGGTCGCCTTGACGGTGCCCTCACGAGTGCTGGCCAGAGGCCCTCGCTCCTCTCCAGAGGCCCCCATGCTGGCTTACCCAGCGCAAATGAAAACGTGAAGTGCCTTTTGTCACTTCAGAGGTGACACACCGTCACTTCTGCCCTATGCAACTGCACACAGGCCAAGTGTAGGATAGCAGGGAAGGACACAAGGTATGGGTCATGAGCCTGGAGTCCGGGGGCTTCCTCGGAAAGGCCACTCAGGTGAGGCCATCCCCGTTTTCGTTCCCTCATCCTATTCAAGTCCAAGTCTGCGTTTCCTTCCACTCCACCCCACACCCCAGCTCCGAGCCTCAGCAGGTACTGACAAGTCGTTACTGGGTGGGTATTGTGCAGGACGAGCCTGTGCTTGTCCATGGTCAGTCACACACAGAAGTGATCCTCAGTCCCCACGGTTGGATGAGCCTACGGCTGTGTCTGGCCAGTTAGAAGTATGTGGAAGGGCCAGGTATCGTGGCCATGCCTCTCATCCCTGGGACTTGGGAGGCTGAGGCAGGAGGATCATAAGTTTGAGGCCATCCTCAGTAACTTATTGAGATCCTGTCTCCAAATAAAAAATAAAAAGGGCTGGGGGTGTGGCTCAGGGGTAGAGCACCCCTGGGTTCAGTCCCTGGTACCCCCCCCACACACACACAGTGTGTGGAAGACACCTGTCACTGTCACACTAGGGAGTGAAAGGCTCTCTCCTGCAAGGGCATCCGAGGAACCCTGGACGCCACATGCTCTGGCAGGCCCAGCTGTATGCAGGCACAGCCACTGTCCACGTCCATCCCAGACCTAAGTGGCAGGGCCTGACCCTGTGGGAGACAAACGGCAGGCACACAGACAGTCCTGAACTTTGTGGTTGTCACTACAACCTGACCCGACCTCTCCTGACCACAGGGCAATTACCTTTCGCCAACCCAACTGACCCCTAGTGGGAGATGGGGAGACCGAGCCTCGGGGAGGCCCAGAGACCTGCCATGACCACACGGCAAGTGGACAGTGGGGCTGAGCCCTGGATTTGCGACTTCTGTCTGCTGGTTCAGAGGAAGTAGGACACAGTGCCGAATCCCATGGAGCTTCGAGCCAGTGAACTGGACCTGACTTCTGTGCTGCAGATCATTGAAACTGCGCCTCGGGCTCCTTAGCCCGTAAAATGGGGATGTTATCACTTGGACATGGCTCGAGTCCTTGCCCAAAGAGTTCATGTGTTAGGAGCTTGGTCCTGGGTGTGGTGATGTTTAATGTGGCCCCTTGTGTGAGGTCCTTAGGTCACTGGGGACATGCCTATGGAAGGGATCAAGGATTCTCTTGGGACTCCTAAGTTAGCTCTTATAATAGATTTGTTATTAAAGAGCAAGCCTGACCACACCCAGCTTCTCTGTGGCTTCCTGTCTGGTGATGTGACCTCTTCCTTCCTCACATGCCTATCATGATGGTGGCATCTGCCACAAAGTCCTCACCAGAGCTAGATCGGTGTTGGTACCAACTCTTGCACCTCCAGAACTGTGAGAGCTAAATACACTTCTTTTATCTTTAAAATTACCCAGCCTCAGGTATTTCGCTACAGTGATGAAAAACTTACTTAGATAGGGGACATGATGGGTACCTTCTGGAGGGCGTGGGGACGGTTATATGAGATGATGTCCTAAGGCAGAAGCTCTTGGCATTTGTTCTCTGTCTTCACTATTGTTTCCCTCATGTTGAAGCTCTACAGCCGTTAACTGGGAGCGCTGGCGCCATCCTCACTCCCCTTCTCTGATTTGGGCTTTTCCAAGTCAATCCTCCCACCACGCCCAAAGTCCGAGGACTGCTGCTTCCCTGACTTCTCCTGGACAAGACTCATGGCGATCTTTTTCTTTAGAAAATGTAACATGTTTTCTAGCTCTTTCTCTCTGTTGTCAGCTCTTCTCTGCCAAGCATGCAGTTTTGGATGTTTCTTGTTAGCGAGGCCAGCCTGGTGACAGGACACAGCACTGTTGATTCAAGTCCATAGAAACAAAACACAGCAGGCTCTCTCTGCCAGCACTCAAGAGCTCACCCCGTGGAAATCCTCAAGGACAGCAAGGCTTGGCTTCCAAGGCCACACACACACCTCCGCTGGGAGGAGGCTTCTCCAGAGCTCTTCTTATGCACTGCTAAAAACTCAGAATGAGAAGAGCCCAAGCACGGTGACCCAGTGACACCTCAAAATGCTATGTCACCACCAGAGGGCCGAGGCCAGGGTGCTGAGTGCTCACTGGGGACCACACTGCCCGCGAGGACTTAAGTGTGGAAAAGAGAAGCGCTTTGCAGACAGGCGCAGTGGCGCACGCCTGTCATCCCAGTGACTCGGGAGGCTGAGGCAGGAGAATGGCAAGTCCAAGGCCAGCCTCAGCAACTTAGTGAGGTCCTAAGCAACTCAGTGAGATTCTGTGTCAGAGGAAAAAATAAAAAGGGCTGGGGATGTGGCTCAATGGCTCAGTGCACCTGGGTTTAATCCCCAGTGCAAAAAAAAAAACCCCAAAATACACACACAAACAAATTATTTCTATGATACCCAGAGTATGATCATGATTGCATAAAAGAAACACGTGTAAATTGGAGATATAGATATGTGTGTGTAAATGTGAGTATAATCAGACACGCGTGTCTACCTATGGAAACACGCACACACGCACACACACACACACACACACCTACAGATGATAAAAACACGACTGCTAACTCTCTCTGTTTCCTGCATGAGAAAGAAGGCAGTGAGGACTTCTGTCTTTTACTTTATCATCTCTATTACTTGGTTTGATGTCAATGAACACGTGTTGCTCGCTGTTTAAAATATACACATAGATACATGAACACAGGCTCTCTGACCTCCAGTTGAGAATGAGGATGATCACACTACAAGAAGGATTGAGCTTGTGCCAAGCGCTTTACGTGCCTCATCTCATTCAGTCCTCACCGTGTCTGTCGGAGGTGGGGGTAATTATCCCCATGTTATACCGGAGGACAGTAGGTCAGGGTCAAGCGTTCAAGGTCACGCAAGGGAGCATGAAGCAACACAGGGCACCCATGTTCAACAACATCCACACTCAACATTGAAGAACCGGACAATGGGGTGAGAAAGACGGTAGAATGAGACGGACATCATCACCCTAGGTACATGTACGACTACATGGAAGTGCCTTCTGCTGTCACGTATAACTAATTAGAATAAGAAAATTGATTTTAAAAAGAGCAGTATAAGCAGTCCCTGCCGTGCAGTCTGTGCCCTTGGGAAACAGTACGCCACTATTTGCGCAAATTCACCTGCTTATCAAACTCAGGCTTCAGAGAGTCTTCAGTGAAGATGTGAAACTGGATCTTCCTGTAGCTGAAAAGCACGGCCGATTTGAGCATGACCAGCGTCTCCTCCAGCCGATTGCCGCAGGCCACCACGGCCAGGTGGATCCAGAGCTCAGGCGGCAGGACAGCATGGACGCTCCTCAGCTGTCCGGGCCTCCTAGAGGGAAGAAAAACAAGTGAAAGCTGGAACCAAACTTTAAAAAAAATGCAGTGAATGGTTGGAACACTTCAAACAGAACAGGCACAATCTGTTATATTTTATAAAGTGATAAGCATTTTGACAATTCTTCCTGCTTAGAAAAAAATGCCATTTATCCCCATATTTATCCTGGCAATAGCAGGATGAGTCACAGTTTGGACAGCTCTAGGTGTCGGGGACGCTTTCTGCCAGCACTCAGCTGTCTGGTGCCTGCTGGCTGCTGACTGGCCCATGTTTGGAAATAGTATTGCTAAACTTCAACAGCTGACACGGGGCTGGGGGGCCCCCACTTGCACGGGCCATGGAAATCAGATTTGAATGCAACTTGAACAAGAGGAGAGTGAGTTGTGGCTTTCCCATGTGAAAGAAGCAACGCGATCTTCCCATCATCTGGATGTTTTTAGGTGGAGCTGGAATGCATGACCACTGCACCACGGGACATGTGCGCGGCAGGGAGGTAAGCAAAGAGGCAGCGCGGGGCACCCCTCCCTGTCACATCTCAGGAGAGTCTTGAAGAAACAGGTGTTAACCCTAACTGTCTCGCCAGAGACGGGAGGTGGTGAGTACGGCCTGCGGCTTACAGTACGGAATCCACAGTAATGAGAAACAGGCACAAGAGGGGCACGTTATCCCTGCAAATGAGCAAGGTATCAGATACTGAGTCAACAGCTGGGAGGGGGGACAGGGTCCAAGAGTCCACAATCATCATCCAGCTATTTCCTAGTAATAAAAGATTTGTTCCAGACAAGGGGACGAAGCCAAGCCTCAAACACACCACGGAGAAACATTTGCAGGCAAGTTGGAAGAAGTTGGCCCGGAATAGGTGCCCTGAGACAAATGAAACTAATTTACTTGCACAAAAGATTTGGAGACCAGGGGAACTTGGATGTCAAATGCTGCCTTCCTTCCAAAAACTTCGAGTTCAATCCACACACTGCTCCATTATTCGCCGCTCTGTAGAATAATGGCAGCCGTGCTCCAGATTTCTTTCACCAGGAGGGGAGTGGAGATGTGGGTGGAGCACTTTGGAAAGCGCTCCGATCGGATTACTTCAGAGCATGCTTAGTCGAAGGCCGGCCTTGAGCCCGGCCTTGAGCCCTGCCAAGGCCAGATGTGGCGAGTTCTTGGACCCTATTCACTTTGGGGATCGCGGGGAAAGCTGGCGTCTCTGGAAGTTATCCACTTCTTGTCATCCTCCTGCCATTACCTGATACAGTAATGTCTTCTGTCACCTCGGTCACTCTGATAGTCCTTTTGGTGGCCCACCAGCCTCCAGTCTTACCTTTACCCTCACCCCCCATAAGTTCTCCTAACTGGGGCAGAGTGGTGGGCTTCTAAAACACAGAGTATATTTCTTCTTTGATTAAAGTCATGCAAGCGCTCACCGGCTTCAAGGTCAAACCCAACGGCTGATGATGGCTTCTGCGCACATCTCTTGCCTCTGCCCCAACCGCCCCCACCCATCTGGACGGTCGAGGGCACAGTCGCACTTGTGTCCTGGACTCTTTCCTTCCCAGCCTACGCTGTGGTGCCAGACTCACACAGGCAGTCCCATCTTCTCCCTCTGTCTTATGAGCTGCAACCCACTTATTAATCCACCCATCTTTACTAACAACCAACTACGGGCCAGGCATCCTTGTAGAAAGACAAGGAACAAAACAAAGTTACTTTCTGCAGAGGATTAGGGAAAGACAGAGCTAAGTGACAGTCCAAGGGGTGGTAACTAGTAACTTATCCAGAGGGCGGGAGCGCGGTGGGGGCCAGGGAGGCCTGGGCGTGCTGGTGCAACCTGAGACAGCTCAGAGTCAGCAGGGGCCTCCCGACAAGGCAGGTCTGCCAGGGGTACGGGGGCGGCCAGGACGTGAGCCCCGAGCCTCATGGCTGGGAGAGGAGCCCAGGCGGAGGGACAGCCAGAGCAGAGCCGCAAACCCAAGGGCCCCCCTGCAGCCTCACCTGCCTGTCCTTCTCAGGAGGCTGCATGGGGGCTTTTATGACCGCTATCAAAGCCAGCTCCCCACTTACTGACATGAAGGAGAGGGCAGGCTGTGTTAAACTCACACGACAGTCAGTTTAGAGAAAGTGCCATCGAGACATGAGCCGAAACATGCCAGAGAGACATCTGCGACGTGGACATCGGCTCTGAGTCTCGCCCACTGCCTAGCAACCCGAGGCTGACTCAGAGGCACAGACTTGGGGGCTGGGAGTGTGGTTCAGTGGGAGAGCACCTGCCGATCGTGTCTGGGCTCCAACCCCAGCACCCCAAAAACAGAAGCTAAGGTGCTACCAACAAATCCCATCACCTCGGCGTCTTAGATATGAACAACTTCCCCACCCCCGGGTGTCTGCTTACCCTACAGTCTGAGATGCTGCGGAATGACTCGCCTTCACCTGGCAGTGACGGAAACACTAACTCCAACAACAACGAGTTTGACTTCCAGACTGGCAAAAATGACACAGAAAAGTCTGACTGCATCGAGACGCAGTTGGATGTGGGGTGGGCGAGGGAAGTTGGCCGACACCTGGAGAGCCATTGGCAACTGTCTGCAGGCACGAAGATGGGCACCCGCCTTCCACCCCTCCAGATTCACACCTACCCACAGGAACTGAGGAAGTGTGCACATGGACACGAGTCTCATGCAAGAACATTCACGGCAGCCCTGCTTAGGAAAGTGGAAAATTGGAACAGACTTGCCATCCACTGAGAGGAGAATCCCGAGTCTGCCTGACATGTCTGAAAGGTGGAGTACTCTACAGCAGCAAAAGGAACACGCCTGAAGGACACGTACAACATACAGCAGAGAGGAAAAGAGTGGTGTGAGGGGGACAGTATTGCCATGAAGCTTAAAAACTAGGCAAAGACTCAGCGGTAGAGCGCTCACCAGGCATGTGCAAGGCCCTGGGTTCGAACCTCAGCACCACATAAAAATAAATAAGTAAAGGTATTGTCTTCAACTTAAAAAAAAATGTTAAAAAAAAAACTAGCCAAAGAGCACAGCATTTTCTTGGCAGATGATACACAAAGTAAGATAAGCACGAGAATGAAAACCATCAAATGGAGAGTGCTAAGTTATTTCTGGGGACTTGATATTTTACTTAAGCTGAGTTCTGGACACAAAGAAATTCTATTTGTTATCATCTCCATATTTTGTGTCACCCAAACTTCTGGAAGAATACTGTTCTCCCCACTCAAAAAAGCCTGCAGGCTGGGTGCAGCTCAGGGGCAGAAGGCTTGCCTAGCTTGAG